ATTGCAAACCGTTGAAAAGTTAACACCAGATGCACAAGAATTAACAAATAGCATTCGAGATTTACCTACTGTCAAGTAAATTTAAATTATTTTAACTTGAGAACTTTTTTAAATTAATATTTTTTTCAGAACTCACATGGGTAGAGCAAGAGCTTGGTTAAGAGTAGCCTTAATGCAAAAAAAGTTGGCTGATTATTTAAAAATTTTAGTGGACAATCGTGATGAAGAATTAGTAGATTATTTTGARCCAGATGCTTTAATGATGAGTGACGAAGCTATTGTTATTGTTGGCCTTATGGTTGGCCTTAATGTTATTGACTGCAATTTATGTATTAAGGCAAGAATTCACAAAATATAAAAAATTTAGCAATTTGTTGTTATTATGTTTATAATTTTATAAAATGTTATTAGGAAGAAGATTTAGATTCACAACAAGGTGTAATTGATTTCTCATTATATCTGCGCTCAAGTCATCACCCTAATCATCATGTACAAGGCACTGTCAGTTGTCCTGATAGTCCTTTAGGTCTTGAGTCAGAAAATATAAATGTAGTACTTGATCAAAAAAATTATATAGAAGAACTTAATTGCCACCTTAAGTATGTTTTATATACAATTTTATTTTGTTAGATAACCATTTTAATGGTTTTTAGGGCAACAGTGGCAAATTTAGAGTCCAAAGTAGAAACGCTTACAACATCAAATACTTTAATTAAAGAAGAACTTGACATGGCTAATAACAGTTATGCAATGTTGAAAGAAGAAAACCAATTAATCAAAAATCAGTTGATCAAACAAAATGATTCTAAAAATGTAGATATAGAATTTTAAACTTTAAATAACTATAAGAATAAAATAACATTAATTTTAATCTAGTATTTCTGAAAAAGATATTGTTTAATATTGATAGTTACCTATATTATAAATATTACAGGCTGAACCTTTGACTATTGATGTTCCGACTGGAGACATGGATACACTTAAGCAATTTGCAGAAAATGAAAAGAAACAAAGAATTGAAGCTGAAAAGGAACTTCATTTACAAGTATATATTGTTGCTAACGAAATAAACAAAAATTGAGAAGATTATTGTTTTCTTGTAATTAGATGAGCCTTAAAGCTGAAATGGAGGTTGCAATGAAACTTTTAGAAAAAGAAAGTCGAGAAAAACAAGAAAATATAGTTTCTCTACGAAAACAATTAGATGACATCAAAATGATTAATTTGGAAATGTATAAAAAGTTACAGGTGAGACCCACGACTAAATTAATATATATTATTAACTTTTTTGTTGATTATTGGTATTTAATTATGGTTGATGACTTGGTTATTTAAAATGTTATAAAATGTGATCTACAATATTGGGTCGGTAAATGATCAGGAATGTGAAGAAGACTTAACAAAAAAAGCTGAAATGGTGAGCCGACTACAAAAAAAAACTGAACAAATTGGTTGTTTGCTGAGCAATTTACAGTTCCACGACGCACAACAATTAAGATTGAGAAACAACGCTGGCATGAGGAATTCCAATTCGGATACTAGGTTGGCTTCTCGACCAGACAGATCACTTCATCGGCAGTCATATACTCCGGTTTTGAAAGAGAATGCACCAAGTCCCGAACCATTAACTGATCCTGAACAAACTAATAATATTTAAATAAAATAAAAATATATTCTCATAGTTAAAATGCCAAATTTTAGAGTAAATTATAGAAATTAGGTTAATTTTCTTCATATTCTTTATCTATACAAACTAGTTAAAGGTTTAATTACAGGAGAGTGAGAGTTCGCTTAAGCACAAGTCAGAGTTTGTTTCTAAACTGGAATCAAAAAATGTAACATTAACCGAGGCTTTGAAAAAAACTGAAGAGGTGTATGTATTTATTAATTTATATTATTTTATCTTTGAAAAGTCAATGCATCTAAATGCAATATCTATTTGTTTGAATTTTTGCATAATWTTTTCATGGCATTTTGATTATATAATTTATTGAAAAATTTTACCATTCAAAATGTCTAATAATTATATTTTACACTAAAATTGTATTTGGGTGCATAAATTTGTTTACGTATGGACTATAAATAAAAAAAAATGATGCGAGCCACAGACTATTAGTGAACAGGTAGCGATTCTAAACTATTCATCTTTTATATTATCAACATTTGTATTTATAATTATTCTGTTTTAGAGTATAAATGTAATTTAGTTTATGAAATATTAACATTTAAACATTAGTCTATACACTCTTATATTCCTACATGATGACTAATGTAAACCAAACTTTGTATTAGTACTTTAAGTCTTTATTTTTCTTTATACCATTATAATTATTTTATAATATTGAAATAAAATATAGTATGAAGTGACTTATATTGAATAAACTACTTATTTAAAACTTATGCAATTTTCAATATTATCCCAGAAATATTGTCCTAATAAAAAAATTKATTATTAATTTTTATTATTTTATTTAAAGATATTCTCTTGTAATTTATTTATTTTTTTATTCACACAGGATATGTTTTTGAAAAGTATTTTATGTCAAAATCGACATTAAAAACTGTAACATAAATGGTTGGAAAGTTTTTGATAACATTACCATATATTATAATTCCCTATTACTTTTTAAAGTATAACTTACTGTTCTTAAAATTAATAATTTTTTTCTAAAACTATCCTAATTAAAATCATCTCTTTATTTTTTATTTTAAAATCTGGTGAAATTACAAAAGTTTAAAACTGTCTCATAACCAATCTATCCTATTTTTTTTTTATTATTTAACTGATTAGTTCTTATAAAATCGATCCATAGATGCTTAAGATAGACCATCAATTTTGGACTTTGCTGGCTTGATTCTAAAGGTTCCRTGTCCGTTGTTAATCGCTGTTTGATGAGGTACTAACGTTTCTTCCTTGTTCCTTTCCATGTATTACTCAATTTACTCTTCAAAATATTTTTCCCATGTTTTGCTAATGATGACTCATTTTGAAGTTAGTTTTTTTTTTCTTTTAGAAACGTTAGTTAGTAAAAAAAAAGTCAAGTTAAATCTAGCATTTGACTAATGTGTAATTATCTCTATTATAGTATTATTAAWTTTATTTTATTTATTATGAAATTGTCCCATTGACTGTTTGTTGGTACAAATGAGAAATTTGTCAGTTTTACTAAAATACCTCTCAAAAACATACTCTATGGACAACAATAATGTAGTCAGAATGATGGAATTATTRGATTTTTTATAATTTTAAAATTTTTTTCATTATTTAAATAGTGCTCGCAACATTTTTTTTTATTTATTAATTTTTTATTTGCATAACATGTATTTCCTTTCCACATTTTTTATTTCCTTGATAATTGTAGATCGAAAAAAAATGAAGAGGAGAAGAAAAAAATATCTGATTCGGTACTTAGATACCACGATCAAATTGCTGGACAGACAATAACTATTCAGAAATTAAAAGAGGATTTGGTTAAAGAACAACAGTCTAAGTCTGCTCTTGAAGAACAGTTATCCAAAGCAGGGAATCAAACAACTCGTCTTGACGAAGAAATTGTACAACTTAAAGCAATGTCAAATGTAAATTATTACCTTGGTTTTCTAACTGTCTGCAATTTTGTTTACTTAAATTTATTTTAACATGCATAGGAATATGTTCAATTACAAGAGGAACATCACAAATTGAAAGAGAAGTATCGAGAGCAAGAACGAGCACTTGAAGAAATAGCTGATCAATTGAAAAAGGAGATATTAAAATCCAATGAACTAGAAGAAGCTGCTAACAGTACATCAGCGCAAGCACACTGGGAACGTGATAATGAGGTGGCCAATTGCAAAAAATGTGAAAAAGAATTTAGCCTAACAAGAAGAAAAGTACGACAATACTTATTGAATAATATTTTTTTAAATATTTTAAAGGTCAATTCACACTAACTATACRGTTACAGTCCCTCTATGAGTAAAACATATCTATATTTATATTATACATAAATATATTTAACCCATTGACCGATCATAACTGTACCATAAATGTGAATCGACCTTAAATGCTTAATACTTAATTATTATACATGTATGTATGGTTTTTATGTTACAAAAATAGCATCACTGTAGAAACTGTGGTGGAATATTTTGCGCAATGTGTTCAGACAATACAATGATGTTGCCATCTTCTGCTAAACCTGTTCGTGTTTGTGATGACTGCAACTTACTGCTTGTTGAAAGATACTCTGTTGTACCRAACAATTGACATAAGTATTAGTGAAAACTGAACATTTTATTTTTATAATTMACAAAATTAAACMTTATGGGTATTTTTATTTTATAATACAACTTATGCCAGTAAGATGCATGATCTGTATTTATATTAAGTTTATATTTTTTATTGCCATTACTCATTACTTATACCTAAGTATAATGTTTATCAATTAGGTGCCTGTGATTTATACAATATGTTTTTAATCAAATTATTTTTTTACCATAAGATGTGTATATATACTATACATTTATTTACATCTTGTGATAATTACTAATTATTTTTTAGACTATATAACATGAGATTATATTTTTCTAGTTGACATACATATATTTAAAAAGTTTATTTTTACTTCTATTAGTTTTCATAAGTTGTTGTTAATTTTATATACACAACAAAGTATAGAATATTATATTGACTTTATTTAATGAAACATATTTTTGATACAGTAAATTTTTATGTAGCCAATATTAAATAAATAGACTGCTAGGTATATAATATTRTAATGTGTTGCATTTTAAATTATTGTTAAAATATAACAAGCTATACTCTAATTCAAAACAATTATTCAATATGTTATATTTCACAAAATAATATTTTTTTAAAACATAAAGTGTTAGTTATATTATATTTAAATTTAATTTCTAATCTATAAATATTATATTATTGTTATACCAATGTTTTATATTAAATTGTTACAGCATGTGAGTTGTCATTAAATAATTATAATATATTATATATTTTTATAACATACTGTTTCATCATTTAATAAATGTGCTATTATTAATATGTAGGTGTTATTTTATTTGTTGATGAAAAAGGCTTATTGTATTGATATATKAGGAACTTAATGCCCCAGTACACGAACTCAATGATTGTCAGCAAACTAAATCCCAAAAACAGACCAGCAATGCCACCAAACGACACTAAATGATTATAAAAAAAGTATTAAATTATTATTCAAT